GAAAAATCGTCGTTTAAAGGCCGAGATCGGCGACAATCGATTGTAAATATTATCATCGATAGATCGCTATATTTTTCATGCCGTATTTTTTAAGCCGATCGGGTTTAACTTTTATATTCACCAAAGGGACGTCACTCTAATCGGCGGTAAACAAAATGGCGAACGTGCATGGTGAAGAGGTTGACGCCTAATTATATCAATATCCTGGTGCAACACGATCTAAAGTTTGAATTTTTTTGGCTTTCTGAAAAAGGGCGACGGGCCTCCATGCAAAAATAATATACAGATGGACTCGGTTATTTGTAAATTGTTGTATGCCAATAAAGATAAGCTGAAGTTCGCGGTCAAATGTCATGGAATTCTACTCGTGCTGAATGAATAAATTTAACCTTTTTTAATAGTTCAAATTATCGATTATATAATCGATTGTGTTCTTCCGATTCAATTTGATAATCGATAGTAAAATTTGTCCGATTTTACAACACTAATTAGAGTACAATAAATTAATCAGGACAAGTCCTCACCACAATCGGTCACACGGACCGATACTGTAGCGAATTTCATCGGACATTTCGATTTTCTATCGGTTTTGCCGGTAGGACCGATAGTTTTCGGAAACTCTGAGTTACGGCCCTGTGTTTTAGTAGAAAGTTTAGACTGTAAATTAAACTTAAAATATATTGTACATGTATATACTATAGTATATGTAATGGTTTGGGCAGCAAGTTTCAGTCTGGATAAATCAGTCAGTCGGTAGAGTACCCAGTCCTTACTACTGGTGCAAGGTTCCGATCTCCCATGCAGAGTTGTCGTTCGTTCCTCTCTCAGACAGTGTGAATGTATGAGCCGATGGTAGAGAGTGGCAAGGTTCTTGGGTTCAATTCAAATTCCATTATAAATATATTTTTTTCTTTTCTTATAAAATGTTGCCAATGACTGCCTTTTAAAGTATCATCATGTTGTAAATTTTGAATTTACTTGGGGGAGGTAAATGGTACACTATGATAACAGTTACAGGTATCATTTAGTATATTTTGCATTTACCTCCCCCTAGTAAATTCAAAATTTACAACATGATAGAATGTTTTATAGAAAAATATGATGTGGATTCAAAGTCCAGTTGCAACCCCACCCACCACCACCAACTCTGTGTTGTTGCATAATCGAATGAGGTTAATATAGATATGCCTCCTCCCCAACTGGAAGTCAAGGGTTCTTAACTCTATCAACAATGGCACGATCATACCAGATATTATGATTAATCTGAATACCTAAATTTTATTTTAAAAACATGTGCAACCTCTGTGAAGAAAATGAACGGAAACTAATGGTGGACTGGCAGACCGACTGACAGCATTTAAAAATCTGCCCCCCCCCTTCTTCGAAGAGGGCATAAAAGTTTTACACCCCCTCCCACACACACACATTTTCAAAAAAGGATTCACTACCTCACCGAGACGAAATAATCATAAGCGCTTGATTACAGGATGGTGTATTTTTATGCGCCCGGATCGATAGATCCCGGGCGTATATTGTTTTTGTCCTGTCTGTTTGTCTGTTTGTCTGTTGTCAACTTTAACCTTGGCCATAACTTTTGAACAGTAAAAGATAGAGACTTCATATTTGGTATGCATACTCCTCTAATAAAGTCCTTTCAAATGACATCAAAGTCAATGACCTTGTGACCTTGACTGTGACCTATATGCTAAAAATAGCTTTTTCCTATGTTTGTCATAACTTTTGAAGCATAGGAGATAGGGACTTCATATTTGGTATGCATACTCCACCGATAATGTCCTTTCAAACGACGACAAGGTCAATGATCTTGTGACCTTGACTGTGACCTATATGCTAAAAATAGCTTTTTCCACTGTTTGTAATAACTTTTGAAGCATAGGAGATAGGGACTTCATATTTGGTATGAATACTTCACCGATAATGTCCTTTCAAACAAGGACAATGTCAATGATCTTGTGACCTTGACTGTGACCTATTTGCTAAAAATAGCTCTTTACACTTTTTGCAATAACTTTTGAACCATAGGAGACAGGGACTTCATATTTAGTATGCATACTCCACCGATTAAGTTCTTTCAAATGACACCATGGTCAATGACCTTGTGACCTTAACTGTGATCAATATGCTAAAAATTGATTTTTTTAAACTTTGTTGCCGCCGGGCGCATAGTGTTTCACAAACACATCTTGTTTGTATTATGTATTTTTCTAGGTCAGTGTTCCTGTACTTTTTTTTATATACAGTAAATATGACAATTTTTAAAAGCTTTTTAAACGTACTAATTACGGCGATTTTTATGCGCCCGGATCGATAAATCCAGGGCGTATATTGTTTTTGTCCTGTCTGTCTGTCTGTTTGTTTGTCTCGAACTTTAACCTTCACCATAACTTTTGAACAGTAAAAGATAGAGACTTCATATTTGGTATGCATACTCCTCTAATAAAGTCCTTTCAAATGACAACAAAGTCAATGACCTTGTGACCTTGACTGTGACCTATATGCTAAAAATAGCTTTTTCCTATGTTTGTCATAACTTTTGAAACATAGGAGATAGGGACTTCATATTTGGTATGCATACTCCACCGATAATGTCCTTTCAAACGACGACAAGGTCAATGATCTTGTGACCTTGACTGTGACCTATATGCTAAAAATAGCTTTTTCCACTGTTTGTCATAACTTTTGAAGCATAGGAGATAGGGACTTTATATTTGGTATGAATACTTCACCGATAATGTCCTTTCAAACGACGACAAGGTCAATGATCTTGTGACCTTGACTGTGACCTATTTGCTAAAAATAGCTCTTTACACTTTTTGCAATAACTTTTGAACCATAGGAGACAGCGACTTCATATTTAGTATGCATACTCCACCGATTAAGTTCTTTCAAATGACACCATGGTCAATGACCTTGTGACCTTGACTGTGATCAATATGCTAAAAATAGATTTTTTTAAACTTTGTTGCCGCCGGGCGCATAGTGTTTCACAAACACATCTTGTTTGTATTATGTATTTTTCTAGGTCAGTGTTCCTGTACTTTTTTTATATACAGTAAATATGACAATTTTTAAAAGCTTTTTAAACGTACAAATTACGGCGATTTTTATGCGCCCGGATCGATAAATCCAGGGCGTATATTGTTTTTGTCCTGTCTGTCTGTCTGTTTGTTTGTCTCGAACTTTAACCTTCACCATAACTTTTGAACTGTAAAAGATAGAGACTTCATATTTAGTATGCATACTCCTCTAATAAAGTCCTTTCAAATGACATCAAAGTCAATGACCTTGTGACCTTGACTGTGACCTATATGCTAAAAATAGCTTTTTCCTATGTTTGTCATAACTTTTGAAGCATAGGAGATAGGGACTTCATATTTGGTATGAATACTTCACCGATAATGTTCTTTCAAACGACGACAAGGTCAATGATCTTGTGACCTTGACTGTGACCTATTTGCTAAAAATAGCTCTTTACACTTTTTGCAATAACTTTTGAACCATAGGAGACAGGGACTTCATATTTAGTATGCATACTCCACCGATTAAGTTCTTTCAAATGACACCATGGTCAATGACCTTGTGACCTTGACTGTGATCAATATGCTAAAAATAGATTTTTTTAAACTTTGTTGCCGCCGGGCGCATAGTGTTTCACAAACACATCTTGTTTGTATTATGTATTTTTCTAGGTCAGTGTTCCTGTACTTTTTTTATATACAGTAAATATGACAATTTTTAAAAGCTTTTTAAACGTACTAATTACGGCCATTTTTATGCGCCCGGATCGATAAATCCAGGGCGTATATTGTTTTTGTCCTGTCTGTCTGTCTGTTTGTTTGTCTCGAACTTTAACCTTCACCATAACTTTTGAACAATGAAAGATTGAGACTTCATATTTGGTAAGCATACTCCACTAATTAAGCTCTTTCAAACGACACCAAGGTCAATGACCTTGTGACCTTGACTGTGACCTATATGTTAAAAATAGCTTTTTTCTGCAAACTTTAACCTTCGCAATAACTTTTGAACAATGAAAGATAGAGACTTCATATGTAGTATGCGTACTCCACTAATCAGGTTCTTTCAAACGACACCAAGGTCAATGACTTTGTGACCTTGACTGCGGCCTATATGCTAAAAATAGCTTTTTTGAACCCTCATTATAACTTTTGAACCATAAGAGATAGAGATTTCATATTTGGTAAACATACTCCACTAATCAAGTTCTTTCAAATAACACCAAGGACAAGGACATCGTGACCTTTACTGTGATCTTTATGCTGAAATAGCTTTTTTCCGAACTTTGTTGCCTCCAGGGGCATAGTGTTCCACAAACACATCTTGTTTATTTCTATTTTAATTAGGGTATTCAGGCACACCTTGAAAAACACAATACATAAAATACACCATCCTGTAACCAAGCGCCTATGGAAATAATAAGAACATGTGTAAATTGCGATTCTAGATTAAAAAAAATTAAGTGAGGGGGTGGAAGGATTAAATTGTTTGTTGCCATTCCCTGGCAAGGATAACTTAGTTGCTAAAGCATTATAAGGTCACTGCATGGGGCTCGAGGTTAGATTCTTTGTCCAGCCATACATGTTATCCTTTTCTGTATACTGTAAATCACATTTTATTCACGAGAACTTTATTTTCGCGTACTTACGCGAGACAGTGTGCTCGCGAAAATTTAATTCTCGCGTATAATAGTATTCCTTAAGATTATATAGAGATATAACCACAATTCGCAAAAATTTTGTCTTGCTAATCAAGAGTTAATGACTTTCTCGCGAAAATAAGGTGCCGCGAAAATTTAGTGATCTACAGTACTTGTAAACACAATGTCTATATGACTTCGACTTTTACACATATTGTAACATCATATATATTCAGGATACACACATTCTTGCATAACTTTTATCAGAAGACCCCAACAAGACAGTGATACATATCCCATAGTAATATGTTTTTAACCTTTATTCAACATGTTCAAAGAGCTAACTGAACATACCAATACTGTATGAGGACAAGAAAAATGACATGCATTATTTTTTTTCTAAATAAAACCTTTAAAACATTAAACTTAAAAGACCCTTCTCAGGGCATAAAAAATCATTCTATCACTATAGCATCCATAGAATCTGACTCCTTGTTAAGTCCCACATCAGGATGGTACTTCTTCACATGAGCCTTAAGTGATACATTGTGGTTAAAGGCCTTTGGACAATGTCTACATTTGTATGGTTTTTCACCCGTATGTAAGCGAAGATGTTTCTGAAGTTGATCCTTTTCATTGAAAGACTTATCACAGTAGGGGCACTTGCATTCCCTTGTTTGACTATGCATTCTTGCATGCCTCAATGTGTTTCTGGTAGGGAACCGTTTACCACATATTTCACAAACATAACTTCTGTCGACCCCAGTGTGAACTTTGCGATGACTTTCCAATGTTGATAAATGATTGAAGTTTCTTCCACACTCCTCACAAGTGAATTTTCTTTTACTTCCATGAGCTGCAAATTTATGGTTTCTTAGATCTTGTTTTTCTGAAAATGTTTTTTGGCAAATGTTACAAGTGAATTCTTTCTTCAGTTGTTCTAAATGCTCTTTTTGCATATGCTTTTTTGTTTGCCACATATCCTCAAACATCTTTCCACAATATTTACACTTAGACGGAGTACCATGGTATCTTTCAAAATGTAAATCCAACTTCACTACATAGTTTCCACACAGATTGCATTTACTTTTCTTGCCTTTCTGTGTATTCTGCATTAAATCCTTCTCCTTGAACTTAACCCTAATATTTTCATCATCTTTTAACTGTTCATCATCAAAGTCATTTGAGTTGTTATTTCCTGCACTTTTCAAATCCTCTGAATCATTAGTATCATTTCCACACGTTGAAAGAGATTCTCTAGATTGTTCATTGAAGTCTTCACTATCTGCTCTTTGAGTCTCATTTTCCTTTTCTTGAGTGCTTCCACCAGGTGAACTGTCCTCATTTTCACTCTCTTCTAAAGGTCTTGCTTTGCACAAGGAAGAGGAAACAACAGGCTCTGTATCATTATCTAAAACTAGTTTAAAACTTCTGAATGGACGGCACTTCTGACCTGGCATACTTGGCTTGAATTTCTTTGGCTGCTGTATGTTGTCTGCAGTTTTCTCACATGGGGATTTGGGTTGCAGAATTTCACTATTTGGCTTATTGTCACATAATGTTTTGTCAGATGCTATTTCATTATTGGAGTCACAGTTGGATGGTACCGATACTGTGGAAGTCTGGGATAAAACTGGTACTGAATTCACCTGAACTTGGCAAGCAGGAGTAAAACTTGTACTCTGTGCTGACTGAGAAATATTTGCTTGGTTGACTGATCCAGAATTGATTGAAGCTGATGCTGTGTAACTCTGTGATAATACTGACAGTGAATTCTGATGAATTTGGAAAGCAGGCTCACTGCTGAGTATGCCCTCATTCTGAGTAATGTTTGTCTGATTGACAGAATTGGTTGAAGTTGATGCAGTGGGAGTTTGAGATAATACTGACACTGAATTCATCTGAACTTGAAAAGCAGGACCACAGGTTGTACCCTTAATCTGAGCATTGTTCGCCTCATTGATAGATCCAGAATTGTTTAAAACTTGTGCTGCAGAAGCCTGAGATGATGCAGAGATTGGATTCTGATTCACTTGGAAAGCAAAACTACAGCTGGTGCCATTTGGCTGAGAAATGTTGGTTTGATTGATCGATTGAGAATTGGATACACTTGGATCTGTGGATGTCTGTGGTAAAACTGACAGTGGTTGGCAAGTAGGACCATTTGTCACAGCCCCTGTCTGTCCAGTGTTTGTCAATAACAAAGGCTCCTGTTTAGTCTGGATTATGTTGTTAATAAAACCATTTACAGTTTGTATCACTTGTTGTCCTTGTAAAAATGGTGTTTGCATAAAAAATGTTCCTTGATTGCTTTGGACTTGGTTCAAAGAACCAGTGTTAGCTAGTACAGGTTGTACAGAAATCTGAGGTATAAAGTTATACACAACTGGATAAGGCGTTCCAACAATCTGAACAGGATTCCCATTGTTAAAGTAAACGCTCTGCTGTTGGTTGCTGGGGTTAGTGTAATTAGCATTCATCAGGAACATTGATGGAGCCTGGGCAGGTATTTGGATTCCTGTTGAAAAATTCATTCTGAGGTGAAAGACAGTCAGACCATGGAAGTGATTTTTCTTTAATCTGCAGGATGTGCAGGTCTATTCAACCCCTGAAATTATAAAATTAACAATTTTAGATCATACTAAATTGATAAGCAGAGTGTAGCTTATGGGGCCATTTAATAAAAAATATATTATTTTCAAGATCTATTTAAAGTCTAGGAAATTTATATAAGCTGGTTCATGACATTTTTGTGAGATATTTATAAATATTGAAGTAATATCCTTCATGGGGTTTAATGCCTAACTCATGATGTCAAAGCTTTTGATCAAAGATTTAATGTTTGCCAAGTGAAAATTATGTAAACAAATGGACTTTTCTGATTTATAAAATTTTAATTTGAATATCAAACATGTTAAAACAAATATCACATAATGACATACATGCCAACTTTTGAAAATTCCCATGGGGGATTTAGCACGTGACGACAATTTTCAAAGCTCTAAATTCGCGACATTTTGTCGTGAAATTAAATGATAATGAAATGATCTTTTTTTAAATTTATAATATTTGATATCACTTATTAATACAACTAAAGGATTAATTTAACACAAAAAATTAATTTAAAAAATTTAATTTTTTTTTTTTTTTCAAAAATTGAAATATTTTTGCTAAAATAAGTGCCTCTCTCATTAAAAGCATGATTTTTTTTCTACCAGCTAGGACACATAATTTAGTGAAAAATTGAAAATTGTACAACTTTTAAATAATTTTTTTCAAAGGCTAAAAAATATATGAGGTTTTGATACTGTAAAGTCCTGTTTCTGGAAACATTTTTGAGATTTTTTATTTATATATTTCAATTAATTAGAAATTTTAATAAGGTATTAAATTTACTGAAATTTATACCATCTATCCAAACGAAAATTTTTTTTTTACAGTCATGAAATTTGTCAGGCTTGATGGTGCCATGTGGGTATTTCCTTAAGTCATGCACATACCTAAACAATATTACTTTTGGGAGAAGGAAGGGAAAAGAAATTCTAATTGACATACACTTGATTGTTTCATCGTAAAATCATAATATTTTAACTGGCAAACATTACAATATTTTTAATTGTAGGTAGATAAAATCAGCAGCTATGCTTTGTACGTAGTTTTCTACTTTCGTTTTCAAAAAACGATCTCTTTGGATGCTGATTTTATAGTTTGATTAGTATTTCATTGTCTTTAATTTATGTTTTTAATAAAATGACTAACAATTAACATGTTAATCTATGTGTTTCACCTTGCACACCCCTTAAAACTGACAAGATAATCCCCTACTTGCCCCAAGCTATAAGCTACTTGTACCTGGACAACTGTGTGCGATCAAGCGGGAAGTGATTTCCTGTAGCTAATTAACATTGTTAAATAAACAATAAAACTTATCTGAGTGCATTGAATAAGTTTGACATTGTTATCCCGATTGTCAAAATTAAGCGGTAGGGAATCTTTTATAATCGGAAATTTTGGTGATTTTTTCAAATCGGGAAATTAGGGCAATTTTTCTTTCCCGATCGGGAAGGCGGGATGAAAGGGTAAAATCGGGAGGATCCCGCCAAAATCGGGAAAGTTGGCATGTATGCATAATGATAAATCTAGTTTTCATAAACAGTCCAGTCCAATACGAAAATTCGTAATATTACGAAAAAATGTAAGATTACGAAAAAGCGTAATATATCAAGTTATCGTAATATAAAACTTATATAATACAATTTTTCGTAATGTAGTTAAATTACGAATACGCATAATATAGCAGATTGTAAGAGACTATATTACGAGTTTTCGTAATCCAAGACAAATTCAAGCATTGCAAGAAATTGAGTTGTGGGTAGCAAAGTATGATGTCAGTCATATATCAGATTCCACATCTACTGATAGCACGCGGTGAGTTTGGTCAGTTACGCCTATCAGAAAGCATGGAAATTCAAGAAGAAAGTACCACCAGCTATGGGTGAGTGGACAATTTCTTTTATAATTCTTTTATAGGAATTTTCCCAAGGATAAGACCAATTTTCCAGTAAATTTCAATATTCGCTTATTAATAAGCATGTCGCATTGGTCTATATCACCCGAACTCCCTACTTTTCTTGCGAAGTCTACCCTAAAAATCACATCCTCGTCTCATAATACAACTGTTCATTCAATTCTTATTGAAATACACATAATTCAAATCTTGGTAAGAGTCGTACAAGTTATCGCCCGTGACATCTCGTAGTAAACGTCATACTTTGCTTCCCGCCACTCAAATTCTTGCAATGCTTGAATTTGTCTTGGATTACGAAAACTCGTAATATAGTCTTTACATTCTGCTATATTACGCGTATTCGTAATTAAACTACATTACGAAAAATTGTAATATAAGTTTTATATTATGATAACTTGTCATATTACGAATTTTCGTATTGGACTGGACTGATAAATCAGAAACTTATTCTAAAATAGCTAAATAAAGCTATATTATATAGGTAAATAAAGTTATATAGGTAGATTAAGCTTATATAGCTAAATATAGTGATTTTCCTGGACCCGTACTTTGCACTTTCCCTGTTTGTCAGTTTTTTGGGGATGGGTGGGAGGGATGGGGGTGGCGGTCGAGGGTTTTTCTATATGTTTGTTTATTTGTCATGAATATATATAATCATACATCTTTTCTGGCGTTTGATATTAAACCGCCAAAAGTGGTGCAAATCTTCAAAAGCATGATCCGATAAAAATACAGTCAAAATAAATGAAGTTTGCACCTTACCAAGTTATCCATTATTTTCACTACAAATTGGGTGTGCTCTGTCCATTCAACCATTCTTTCCGATTATTCCTACAGTCAAAGTTTGAACTAATGATTATGATGTTGTGTGTACAAAAATTGTTTTCACCGGAAATAAACATTGGGACTGGGTAAATGTAGGAAACCGGTGCATCGAAAAACCCCAAAGTACCCCAAAATACCCTTAATTTACAAAACAAATCTGTCTATAAATCAGAGATTGACTGATTATCAGAAAAAAGCTAAGCTTGCTTCAGAATAATTATTTTGTATTATATGCCTAACAAAAAATTTCTGTATTCATATACATGTGCTTAAGTGCCAATAAAGATTGAAGTGAAATAATATAATTCAAGACAATAACGTGGACCAAAATTATTGTTTGTAATCATGCAGAGACATAAAAAAAAACAAGTGACACTAACGAAGTGCATACAGACAGGAAAACAAACACACGACGTGTATAAAATGTTGGTATTCTTTTGGTTCCAATTATAACAGTCTTCAGTGGTTTGACTCTAAACATCGGGACTTTAAATAATCTTCTATCTTTCGAACAGTTGAATGGAATGCCATATACGGCAGCCAACTGCTTACTGCCAACTGCTGACTGCTTACTGCCAACTGTCAGCTGCTTACTGCCAACTGCCACACATATTTGAATAAATTTTATTTTTATATTGATATTTATGTAAATTGAAAAAAAAGGCGCGGATCTAAAGGATATTTTTTTTCCAAGAGGGTCGCTCTCACTGGTAAAAAAAAAATCCAACCCATGCAGAAATTTCTTGACAAGAAAAAAATACGTTAAGTCCTAATTCCTAAATTTGAAAATTTATTTCGTCCGGGGAGAGGGGGTTCTTATGCGTCATACCTTCATGTGTATGACATTTTTCATACCAACTTGACACGATTCCACATTTTCGGTTGGGAGTGGGGGGGGGGGGGGGGGGTTCTAAAGTCCCTTTTAGTTGATTTATTTTATACATTTAAAAACTTTTAGTTGGTTTAGTTTGTGCATTAAATAACTTTAACAAATTTCAGAGGGGTGTTCCGGACCCCTCTCTCTAGATCTATGCATGTAAAATATATATTTTATTTGTACAAACAAAGAGATATAAATGTTTGATCGGCGTTTTCTAAGTGGAGGGTCCAAGGTCAATTTATACCGGTAGTTAGTGTAGTTTATTTAACGTATGACTGTACAAATTTTAACACCCCCCCCCCCCCCAGATCTATGCATGTGAAACATCATAACACAGAGAGATATACATCTTTAATTTGAGGAAATTTTTAATTATAGAATATAATGGAAAACGGAAATTTATTTTCAAAACATCTTTCTCTGCGAAACGTTAAATCTTTTTTATTATTATTCTCTCTTCAAAGGTTTTGTTGTCTCCGGGGGAGGGGGTCTTTAAAGATTAAAAGCAGAAAATAGTCATTTTATTACCTAATTTCAAATAGGAAAACAAATTTAAAAAAAACCAATATACTTTATCAACCGCATATATTGAATATTACATGAGATAAAACATGTTGGTCATTTTATTCAATTCAAATTTACCAGGGTGACCCCCTGAGAAAAAATGTCCTGGATCCGTGCCTTTTTTATGGAATGCCATACACTGAAAAAAATACCTAGTTGATTTAACTAGTGTGCCTAGTAAAGCGTTCTTCGTGATTAGTAATCACTCTGTTTACTAGCTAAAATAGTGAAAAGTGGAGTAATGGTCGTAAACTTAAACTTTTTACTTAAATACCTAGTGAAAGTTACTTATAAGTTCTTAATTTACTAATGTTATCTAGTAAATCTACCCAATTCCCAGTAAAACTACTTTTGAGGTAGTGATTGTATGGACAGTAAATTTACTAGTCTTCACAGTGACTTTCACTAATTTTTTTTTCAGTGTATACGACAGCCAACTGCTTACTGCCAACTGCTGACTGCCAACTGTCAGCTGCTTACTGCTAACTGACACACATATTTGAATAAATCGTATTTTTATATTGACATTTATGTAAATTTTCAAAAATAAAAAAAAAACAGGGGCGGGTCTAGAACATTTTTTCCAAGAGGGTCACTCATGTAAAAAAAAAATCCAACCCAGACATTTCTTGACAAGAAAAACAAGAGGCCCATAGGCCACATCGCTCACCTGAGCACTGTGGTAGGAAAAAGCAGAATTGGTTTATACTTGAAAAGCTTAAATCCAAAAGTAGTCCAAAGACCAATCATGGCTTTGCTATTCCCCAGATAGCATGACTATGTTGGGCCAACGTTAGCGCACAGTTGTTAACTGCGTTGGTCCAACGTTGGCAACCTAACGTTGGCCCAATGCAAGTTTGCTCATCGGCCCTACGTTGGTCCAACATGTTGGCCCAACGTTGGCACAACGTTAGCCTATTTTATTACAGCATTAGGTCAACGATGGCCCAACAATGGCCCAACGTCAATTACCAGCAGTGATTGTATCAACAAAGGCCCAACATTGGCCCAACGTACTTTTTGTGTTGGCCCAACAATGGCCCAACGTCCGTTCACCAACATACCATCGGTGGCTTAATGGGGGTCCAGTGTCCAGTACCTGTGTTGGTCAAACAATGGTCCATTATTATTTTACGGAGAGTTATTTTTACAACGTCGGGCCAACAGAGGCCCATCCTTTTCTACTAGTATATAAATCATGATTTCCATTCAAAATCAATCCATCTTGACAAAAATTAATAACTAGCTAATGTTGACAATGAGGCAAAAGAAAAAAGTGATAAATTATACAATTTATTTGTTAGTTTCTAACAAGTTCTGTTAAATTTGCTTCAATATTATAACAACAATTAAACAAAAACATTTGCCAAAGTTTATAAAGTTTAAGCATAAAAAATATTTTTAATATCCAGTTGTATAATAATACGTCTTGCTTTCACGTTTCTGCCATATAAAATCTCAATGTATTCAAAGTTGTCGAATATACTCCACACTTCCTCTGCATCAGTTGCACCTATGATTGACTGGATTCGGCACACCGTCAAATCTAAAACGTCTAATATAATGAGGCAGTTGAGGCAGTTGAAATTTCAATTGCAAACACTATCTCCTTTCAAACATCATCTAACATCAATTCCAGAACCATGCCTTTGTTTACAAAAACTTGTAAAATCCCATAACAGTACTATAGAATAGAAAGGAGCTTAAAGTTCACTAGTCTCGTTTACCCCAGACTCTCGCTCTCGAGACTTCGCTCGGGCAAAGTCTCGAGAGCGAGAGTCTGGGGTAAACGAGACTAAAAGTTCACGTACAACACAACTTGGCAATGTTTGAATTTCATTTTTTATTAATCCCTCTTTTCAGTAAAATATTGTTTAAAGACACAAATAGTATAATCCAAGAACATTTGAAACATTCTTCTTTTGTTCGAATTGCATTTGTTTTTCACATATTCACTTTTTTCCCACTTTCTTCCTCCTCAGTTCTTCATTGTCATCAATAAACCAGTATGAATTTCTGCTGCAAATTAATGCACACGGCACATTTCCCCGTCTAAGAACAATGCTGTTAAGAATAGTAAATAACATATTTGAAAATTGATGAAATATTGATTTTTTTTTCATGAAATTCTGATTAACTCATGATGTATTTCACCAGTTTAAATACAAAAGAATTTACCATTAAACACACCTTGCCATATATACTGAAATTTTCTTATCTATTTCACTTCTCGTCATGATATACAATGTATTTCATATAAACTGAATCATTTTATGCAAGAAGTAGCTATAGTTTTAAAATATAATAAAACTTTACTTACATTTCTTTTAGGACTTAGCCGTTAGCCGTTGTGTGCGCCAAATTTTTAAAATCCCAACCTTACTGTAACTTCTGCATTTTGAGTTTATTAGCCAGCTGTGAGTAATTAAACTTGACAGCTCTCCACATATTTCGGTGTTTACATTGCTGCGACTCTTTCGGTTTTAGCGACTCGCCTAACTTTTATAAAGCTGACTGGGTTATCTTGATTTATGCGTCATTCACATCCCGTCCCTGGGAACTTTTAGTTTCCATATTACGATAACTTTTATTCAGTCGTTTATATATAACCGAGTATACTAAAGTAAGAAAAAACAAACTATAGGCCAACCGTACAACCTTTAACCAACGTTGGCCCAACGTAGTCATGCTGTCTGGGTCATGAGAAGAAGATTTTTAAAGAATTTTCCTATACATTTCTATGTAAAAATTTGGTCGGCCATTTAAGCCCCGCCCTATTCTTGGGGGTCATGATTTGAACAAACTTGAATCTACACTACCTGAGGATGCTTCCATATAAATATGATCAATTATAATGGCTTTGCTATTCTTGAGAAGAAGATTTCTAAAGAATTTTCCTATATATTTCTATGTAAAACTTTGGTCGGCCATTTTGACCCCGTCCTACCCCTGGGGGTCATGATTTAAACAAACTTGAATCTACAATACCTGAGGATGCTTCCATATAAATATGATCAATTATGGCCATGCTATTCTTGAGTAGAAGATTTTTAAAGAATTTTCCTATACATTTCTATGTAAAACTTTGGTCGGCCATTTTGGCCCCGCCCTACCCCCTGGGGTCATGATTTGTACAAACTTGAATCTACACTACCTGAGAATGCTCCCATATAAATTTGATGAATTATGGCTTTGTCATTCTTTAGAAGAAGATTTTTAAAGAATGTTCCTATATATTTCTATGTAAAACTTTTGTCGACCATTTTGGCCCCGCCCTAACCCCGGGGGTCATGATTTGTACAAACTTGAATCTACACTACCTGAGGATGTTTCCCCATAAGTTTCATCTTTCCTGGCACAGTGGTTCTAGAGAAGAAGATTTTTAAAATATGCCACCAAATTTTCATTAATTCCCAATTATTTCCCCTTGAATGAGGGCGTGGCCCTTCATTTGAACAAACTTGAATCCCCTTCACCCAAGGATACTTTGTGGCAAGTTTGGTTGAAATTGGCCCAGTGGTTCTTGAGAAGAAGTCGAAAATGTGAAAAGTTTACAGACAGACAGACAGACAGACAGACAGACGGACAGCTAGACGGACAGACGGACGCCGGACAAAATGTGATC